CCCCCCCCCCCCCCCGCCCCACTGATAGGAGTGTGGTGTTTCCTTCCGCTCCTCAAGTGCCGCATGGTATGGAGTTGGTAGCTGTTGGGCTGCCCTCGCCCGACATCTCCATTTTTCAGGAGAGATTCGACGATGATGACCGTGGATGCATTCCGTACACAGAGCAGGGACATTACGAGTGGGCTGTGTACCTAATGGAACAAAGAGACGTATCAGCNTTACGAGTGGGCTTTGTACCTCTTAGAACAGAGACAAGAATCGGATGACCCCTACGAGTTTTTAGACTTGATGTTTGAGTCTGGATTTGCCAATGTCTTCGATGATGTTGCTTTCGCCGTTCCCGTTATGGCCCCGGGCAAGCGCCCTTTTTCGGTGGGGAAACCCACCAAGATTATTGACGTTAACCTTCTCCATGTTTCGTCCTCCCACGCCAATGAGTTTCTTTTGCGTGAGCTTGCGAAGCAGCACGGTCTCCGACTGACCGGTGTTCTGCGGCCTTGTGGTGGATGTCTGCAGGCGAAGGGGAAGAAGGCGGGCGTGCCTCACCAATCGGGCACGCGCGCGGAGCGGCCGCACGATCTTTGGCATATCGATCTTTGTGGGTCGATGACGGCCTCGCTGGGGGGGTCGTTTTTTATTATCATGTTCGTGGACAGCTTCTCGCGGTGGATGAAGCTGCACGGGATGAGGCGCAAGTCGGACACCCTCGCCTTCGTGAAGAAGTTCCTCGCCGACATGAGTGGCACCGGTGTCCCTCATTCTTTCCGGATGGACAACGGGGAGGAGTTCGTCAGCCGCGACTTCATCAACTTCTGCGACAACGCCGGCATCCGCCGTACGTACACGGCGCCGGGCACCCCGCAGCAGAATGGTCCGGCGGAGAGTGCGATCTGGCGCGTGAACAAGGCCGGCCACGCCGCTCGTCTCGAGGCACGCCGCCTGTTCCCCAAGATCGACTTCACCCGCGTCCCCGGCTTCGGGCGCGATGGCGAGCGACTTTGGCTAGAGTCGTGTCACTGGGCTGCCGGCGGCTTCAACCGTTCTCCGACCAAGGCAAACGTCGGGTACAAGTCGCCGCACGAGCTCTTCACCGGCCGTCCGCCCCCGCTCCAGATGGTCCCGTTCTTGCAGCCGGGGTACATGCGTGAGATGCGCGCGCGGAAGATGGATCTCCAGGCAGGTGCTGTGCTGCTACCTCAACAACGACGAAAACCATCACGAGTCGGTGGTCAAGGTCCTGAAGTTTGCGACGGGGTGCGTGTGCATGACGAACAACGTCGTGTGGGTCTCCGACCGCGCGCCGTTGCTGCCCCCGCCGCTGGAGATGCCGGCGCCGGCGGGCGAAGGGGGGGCTCGGGTATCGCCGCCGCACCGTTTTCTATCGAGTACATTTCAACGACTCTTTTACCCCCCTCACCGTTCGCCCGATATCTCAATTCACCCGCTGTCATACCCTCACAGGCGCCACCGGCAAATTCCACACCACCACCGCTGGCGGTGCCGTCTACTGCAGCCACACCATCGCCACCGGTCACCGCGCCGCCTGCAATGCCACCGTACACCACCACCGCGCCACGTGCAACGCCGCTCGCCGCCGCGCCACCGTTTTCCACCACCGCGCCGCTTGCAACGCCGTTCGCCGTCGTGCCACCGTCTCCCGCCGTCGCGTCGCCCGGTGCCGCGCCATCTACCAACATGCCGCCGCTCACTACGAGGACCATCCGTGAACTGGACGTGGGGCGCGGGAACATGAGGGTTTCTGGGCGCACGAGGTCAGCCGCTAAGGACCAAGGGGGGGCGGGCGTCGTCAATGCGCCCCTCTCTGCCAGGGCCACTTGAGAGCTGGACTTGGGACGAGAGACGAGGGTGCCAGGGAGATTGAGGGGTCGGGAGGTGCGTTTCCAGGATGGGGGGGCCGAGCGGTCGAAGTCACCTGGCGGGAGCGGCGACGCTCCCGCCCACCGCTTCGGGCTTGTATCCCTGCAGGACAAGGCAACGCTCCTGTCGACTCTCACCACTCGCAGCATCGTCGATAGGGGGAGAAAGGAGATCCCGAGTTCAGCCGGAGGACGTGAAGGAGCGGAGCCGGGGGGGCGAGGGCGGGGGGGCACAAAAACAGAAGGACTGCGTGAAGAAGTCCCGTTTTCGTGCGCCACCTTGCTTGCCTCCCGCGAGGACATTGATCGCACGATGAGGGATTTAAATCCCCCGGTAGTGGCACCGGACTTGCCACATTGCTAGGCGAACGACTTGCGCGTGCCCAACACTTATAGAGAGGCTTTGTTCTCTGAGTATGCTGACTTATGGGTAAACTCTGTAGGGAGGGAGTTCAGAGGTCTGATGGAGGCTGGGACCTTTGAGGAAGTAATGTAGCAACCAGAGAGTGTTATCAAGGCCAAGTGGGTGTTTAACTGGAAGTCTGATGAGTATGGATGGCCGACTAGTGTGAAATCACGGCTACTAGCGAGAGGAGATATGCAGCGAGTACACGTAGATTGTGGAGAGACGTATGCACCGACTGTAGCGGTTTCTAGCGTTCGCTTGTTGGCAGCGATTGCGTGTGAGCAAAATCTTTCTCTTCGTCATTTTGACATCAAGCAAGCATTTGTCCAGTCGGATTTGGATGAGGATGATTTCGTGCGGCTGCCAGAGGGATGTGGTAGATTGTCAGGCATGAATGTAAAGTTGAACAAGAGTCTGTATGGCCTTAAGCAGGCATCAAGGCAATGTTGGCGAGGTGTTTGATTTGCTTAGGTTTTATTCAGTGTCTGGCGGATACGTGTGTGTTTCGGTTGATCGAAGAGGGAAGAGTGGCAGTGACTCTGGTAGTACGTATGGATGATATATTTTGGATTAGAGAGGAGGAGAGGTGTGACCAATTTGGTAGGGACCTCAACACCATGGTACCTGTGAAGAATCTTGGTGACTTGAGGTGGTACGCTGGATGTTTTTATGAGAGGGATTGGGATGCAGGGACTTTGAAGATCTCGCAGCAGACGTACGCTGAAGAGTTGGGGGTGGAGTTTGGGGTAGAGTACGGGAAGGAAATTCCTCTTCCTGTAGGGTTGAAGTTTCAGAGGTTGACCAGGATGAAGAAGTGGTATCATGGTCTTGGCGAGCTGATAGGATCACTGATGTGGCTGACAACACAAACGAGGCCAGATATCGCGAATGCAGTAAGAGCGGTAGCACGGTACTGTGCTCTTCCCAAAGAAATTCATTGGAGAGCAAGTCTTGGTAGTTTGGGGTATGTGGTAAAGACTAGTGACTTGGGGACTACATTCAGGAGGGGTAGTGTAGCAGGGTTGAGCATGGAGGTGTTCGCAGACACAGACTACGCAAGCAAGGCTGCCGATAGGAGGTCTGTGTCAGGGGGATTGGTGATGTGTGGGGGGGATGTATTTCTTGGTTTTCAAGGACGCAGAAGTGCGTTACGTTGAGCACGACAGAGGCGGAGTATGTCTCTCTTGCGGATGTGATGAAGGAAGTGTTGTTTCTGAGGCAGGTATGGCGTTTCATGTTGCCAGAAGCAGGAATGCCGGGTATTCCGGTGTTCGAGGATAACCAGGGGGCTATTCAGTTGGCGCAGAACCCGATTAGCAACAGTAACTCGAAGCACATCGACGTAAGGCACCACTTTATCAGGGAACTGGTACGCAGGAAGGAGTGGAATCAGCGTTTCAACATGCTGACTTCTTCACGAAGGCACTTCACGTCGGAGATTTTGAGTTTCATCGTAATTTCGGGATGAGTGCGGGACAGGAACGATAAGTTTGGATTATTTGTGTTTGATCAAAGAACTGGGGTGGCATTGTTTTACATTTTCGCCTGTGGTCTTCTCAATGAATGGTGCTCTAGGTTGGGGGGCTATTGGACCGCTATGGTCATGGAAGAACTACAACTGGAATGATTGGGGATGGAAATATATTTCTAGCCCAGAAGGCTATTGTTGCAGATTTGAGTTATGTTTTGGAGTTACTGAAAGATCATGAAGACATGGCATAGTCAAAAGCAGGGGGGCTGATAGATATACTTGTAGCAATGCCAAGTAGTTGGTGCTGGATGTTCCCATGGAATGAGGTAGAGCGGAATACCGGGTGACATGTGTGGTACGTAGAATGGATTCCAGGGATGTACAAGGTACCCCTGTTGTATACGGCGTCGCCCCCTCAACGGGGCTTGTGTGTGTGTGTGGATGCAACTAATCAAGACAAGTTTTTCTCCTCGGGGCAAGCCCGCCGAGTTGCCGATACCCTATTCAACACACGTCTTGCGACAAGCTACCCCCAGTTCGGATTATCCTACCACGAGGGGGATCGAACGCCATTCGTAGCCCCTGCGCCCAAGGCCGTCCTTCTTCATTCGGGAGCTGAAGGGCCTCCGATCACATACAGCCACGGCAGCATCCTCAGTTCCGTTCATGCGGTTCCCCGTTGGGCCACAGGCCAGATGTGCCTGCCTTCTGGCGTGTCCAAGACAAAGAGAGGAGAAACAAAGCGGAAAACGTCAACAACGCGACGGGACCACAACCCGTAGACCTGGTGTTTTGGCACGTGGGTCAATGCACCCTGGATCTTCAGGCCGACACGCTCTTTGCTGAGACCACAGTCAGCAACTCGCTTGCCGGGGAGATCGCCCTCAATGTGGCCAAGACAAAGCTATCCGAGCACCTCGGTCTCTACCTCGACAAGGAGCTGTCAGAGTATTGCTTCGATGAAGACAGCCGCGCCCGGCGTGACCCGCAAACCTTATCCTTCACAAACCGCCTCAAAGCGAACATCGACGCGCTGGTGACGGAGGCCCAATCGGCGCCGGAAGCATTCTCCCCCGCCCCGCCGATGTTCTCCAGGGAGGTGGAGGACGGCCTGCGCGAGGCCATCGCGAAAGACCTTCGCCACACTTCGGAGTTGGAGGATCAGCGGCGATCCCTTTCAGGGAAGCAGAATGTTTTTGCTGCTGCATTGGCCGCTGTTACCGGGCCAGGCAAATAGACGAGGATGAATTCTGCCCCGATTTCGGCGACCGAACTGGCCGCGTCGCCGCCTCTGGTCCCCCGCCCCTTCGAGGACCTCTACTCGGTGTTCAGCGAGACCGAGATCATGGAAATTTTCGAAAAGACGGTACTGCCGAGAAACGATTGCGTGCTCTGCCCTGGGCACGAGGTATGGTTCAAGCACAGAGACGGAGGAGGACCCAAGCACGAGTACGAGATGGACAACGAGCCCCCATACTGCTGAAGGTCGGACAGTATGACGTGCACATCAGCGATTGAGATAGCGCACTCGGAGAAAGAGTTGGTGGCCGACGTTTCTGCACAAGGGGCCAATGATCGTGGTTCCTGAGTGCCGTCTTTCGGAGTTGGGCGACAATAGCCGTTTGTCATCGGATACGATGTACACAGCATGTTGCAATTGTGTTCGCCGTCAAACTGCAGGCCTGGGCGGCCTACGGGATCGTGGTACAATGAGGTCGCATGGTGTACTTGAGATGTTCACCAGTTGTGGCGAACTCGAGGAATTCGTCGGCAATCGTCTTCTCAAAACGAAGCCTGTACGCCACGAGCCTCAATGTACATGCGCCAGTCTATATAGGATTGACCGAACGTAGGTGAGTTCGATCGAAACTTGGAAAGGACGGAAGAACTTCGCGTCGACTTTTCCCCAACGTTTGGGGGGTCGTTTGTGACACAAGATGCTATGAAGGTTCACCCAAGTGGAGAAATTGTCTCATTGGCGGACGAGAGAGAGTGAAAAACAGTTGGTGTGCGAAACCAGTTAATTTACGCGATGTAGTCGCTTTCCTTCTTCTTGACTCCAAGAGCGCCACTCCTTCCATCTAACACCGACGAGCGAGGAAGCCCTTGCCGTTTTCGCCACGGTGATTTTAGTGATCACCCGACAAAGAATCGCAGAGCTGGAAGCGCAAAAATCGATTACTGCCGAAGTTCGTTTGTGCGCGACCGTCGTCGACGTCCTTCCATGGGTTCGAGAGAGAAGGACAGATAGAGAGGTGACGAAAGAGCAGGATACGAAGAGAGGCAGAAACAGAGATGGAGTGACAGAGAGAGAAAGAGGGATGGAGAGACAAAGACAGAGAGAGAGAGAGAGATGAGAGAGAGAGAGAGAGAGATGAGAGAGAGAGAGAGAGAGAGAGAGAGAGAGAGAGAGAGAGAG